TTGAACGTGTGCTCAATGTTTGGGGAATGTCACGATGTCAAGTATAATGCTGTTAAAAGTGTCATTATGATATGCCGTACAAACGAGGACAGGGCCCTTGTATTTCCTTCTTTTACGTTATCTGATCATATTTTAACTGTGTGCAGTGAAGTTAAGTATTTGGGTCATGTCATTAATGATTGTTTGTCTGATGACGGGGATATATATCGGCAGTGCCGCATGTTGTATGTACAAGCTAATATACTGGCACGGAAATTTGGTGCATGCTCCGTGGGAGTAAAACTGGCTTTGTTTAAAGCGTGTTGTACTTCCTTGTACACTGCTCATCTGTGGTGTAATTATAAAAAGGGCAGTCTTCGGAAACTGTCAGTAGCTTACAATGATGCCCTAAGGATATTATTGAAAAAGCCTAGATGGACGAGTGCAAGTGAATTGTTCGTGTCATCTCGAGTTAGTACATTTTCCGCTGTTTTAAGAAACCTGATGTTTAAATTTATCTGTCGCCTGAATTGTTCAAAAAATATCATTTTATTGTTGACTAATGTTGCACACAGTGACATGCGTTTTACTTCGGTTCTCTGGAAACACTGGTATACCTGTCTTTTAAAGGGACAGCAGTTTTATGGGTGTTCTTGTGCTCTCGTTTTTATGTATTTTCTGTTTTTGTTTCGTTTTTAAACTGTTCTTTTATTGCTTTTATTTGTTTTGAACCTGGACCTTGAGTCTGTAATAAAAGTGTCGTCATCATCATCACTAGCTACAAAATACCTGTACTTTAGTCCTCTATTTCCCCCGTATCTAGTGCTGCTTTGTTTATTTAAAGAAAACCAGATATACTGACTTAGTCTGTTAGGCTAACTTATTTACAAAGAATATTAAGTAGCTGGTGTATGGAGATGGTGTATATCGCTAGGCAAAACGATACATACTGTGATGTTTTTGTAGTGCGATATATTGAATTTTTGGTATATTTTCCCATCCTGAGTAGTAAATCTTCACTGGCCTTAGAGTATATACAGTGTATTTATTTGCATGGCCTGGGGTTGAGGTCAGGACTCTTTGTAGGTCAGTCAGAGTGGAGTCTACTTTGTTTTATTGTTAGAAATACACAGTTCTGCTTCACATCACTGAAATGATAAATATGGACCTTTGAGCCTTTCTGCTACTAGCAAACAGTCAGACAAGCCAGCCAACACAGACAGAAACACAAGCTCATCAAGCTGAGGATAACAGGAGCAACTGCTGCATCTCAAAAATCCACCACAACAGATGAAGAGCCTTCATCCCAACATGGCAATCAACATGTGAGGGAGATCTTCTGAGAGTAGCAGACTGCAGAGCAGTGTTAGGTGTTAATCACTGCATCATGAGAGCAACATGTTCAGAGGAGAGAGATACTGAAGCCATTAACTCTCCCTCTACAGAGACTCCTACACTGAGAACCGCTGGCAATCATTTGGAGTTGCCAGCACAAACACATCCGCAGTTTATTGCATTTGCATATGCACATCTTCTCTCTCTTAATTAGACTCATGCTGTTTGACCTCTGTCTGAACAAATTCATCATCACCTCAAGGACATCGATCTCAAGCACATCCTCTGAGTGCCTGCACCATCCTCCCCTCTGTTGCCTTTAAGTTAATCTCTGTGTTTCTTCCAGAGCCTTTTGTCTTTCACTTATGCATTCAATTTACCACTCAAACAAGCATACAGCAGGTGGGGTGTTTGAAAGACTTGAAGTCAGACAGAAAATAGGAAAACAACATAACATGATAAAGCCATGATAAGGTTACACAAAATCTAATTTAGATTCAAGCAAGAAGTATGTGTGTGTAGGATAGGAAAGAGTATGGTAACAAGGTATAATCTGGTCAGCAGCAAACCTCAGAATCATCTGCTGATTTCACGCAGCACTGGGAGATGGTTAAAGCTGTCATGATAGCTCACTCCATGACCCCAGTTATTAGCTCCACTATCTCCACCACCTCGATGTTCTGCCTCGAACTTTATCCTCCCATCCCTTCACAGACCACTACTCGCTGGATTCTGTCACACACTGAGGTGAAAGATCAGCGTCCAGTGAAGAGTAATTTCAAGAGAAAAGTGACCAACACTTCCTTATGACACCAATCATCATTTTTTGCTTTTTCATACATATGCATGTATAAAAACAAAAGAACTAAATGAGACTTAGGTGTTTATGATAAATAAATCAGCTATCAAGCAGACAACACAGCATACACTTACTCCAGAGACATTTTATATTACATATGTTGCTTGAGTTTCACTTATAGATATAACAGGTTAAAGCAAGAGTTTGACATTGTGGAAAATACACTTACATGATTTCCTCCTGAGAGTTTGATGAGAACGTTGATAACACCCCGAAATCTTTACCTTAAAAATAAAGCTACATCCAGCTGGCAGTTACCTTAGCTTAGCATAAACGCAGTAAAAAGGGTATCTGAGGGCAAGCAAATCCAGATACCAGCACATCTAAAGCTCCCAAATTAACACATTATCAGGAATTGTGTCTTCCTGGGCAGCCAGCCAACTGAGACTCACAAAAGTGGCTGTGAAATGTCAAATTATTCCTTTGACTTGTAAATGCAGTATCTAAAATTCACTTTTTCAGGACACAACTGTAACATACATGACACTGAATTTTGCCTGGTGTTTCATGGTGTTTCACTTGAGGTAAGCTGTATGCATGCTTGATTTGATTTAATCTCTAAAACCTCCTACCCATTCCTGCAGGTGCATGACAGTGTGCAAATTAGGCAGCTAGAAGCAGAAGGACTGAACTTGAGGACTGGATTGAGAGTGTGTATAATCACGTGCCACTGAAACTAATAATAATCAGCTAGGTCTGAAGCCAGGTTTTTGTCTTACCAGGTAATCATCTGGCTTGATGCCGAACAGATCCCTGAAGTAGCGGAAGGCCAGTGGGGCATAGGTCTTGAAGCGAAAGTCAGGGTAGTGATGCGCTGGGGTCAAGTTGCTTCCCTCACTGGAATAAACAATGAATAACCAAACAAAACTATGTATTAGTAAATTAGACCAGCAACAAAAAAAAAGAAAAACATGACCATTACATAAATTAAACATATCAGTGTGATTATTAGAAACAGATATTCTCTACACATAGAGGCAGCAAAGGGAAAGTGAACCCTAATCTTTGTGCCAATCAGTGTGCGAGTGGGCCCTTGTAATGTGCTGCACCAGTGCCTCAGTAAAGCCCTCAATGGGAGCCCCAGCTTCACCAGTACTGTAATGACAACTGGCCTGTATAAAGTTCTTTGCCTGGAGACTGAAGATGGCTCTGATTACCGGATCTAAACAATACACACAACACATGAGCTTTGTGTTGGAGGCAGAGAAAGGGAATAGCATATGGGCAGAAACAAAAACATACACATGGTAGCCTACATTTTTTGTTTTCTTGAACAATGAGACATTGTCTCATGCTTTGCAAAGACTGATCCTGTTTTGTAACTAACCGAGTGAGTCACCTGTGAGTCTTTCATCAAATAAACTTTCACTGGAATCAATTCTCCTGTCAGTAAATCTACAAACAGAACCTTAGTAAAGGCCTTTGTTTTCCAGGGCACCTCAAAATCTGGCCAATATTCCCAGAACTCTGACAGTTTTCTGGGTAAAGAGGCTAGTGTGTTGTTGTTTTGTGCTGGTGCTATAATCGGTAACTGGATACAGGCAACACTCAGGCCTTGATGCGTAACACTAAACCTGTGATTACAATGAAATGTGACTGCTATGTTTAGTGTGCGAGAGCAGTAACAAGCATCTGTCATTATTGACTGACAACCCACGAAGGTAACAAACGCCTCGTCGGGAAACAATATAGCAACACACCAGGAAACGATTCATTCAATCTAATCATAGAGCCATCTAGTGTGCATCTGGAAAGGTGTGTGCTGGTTGTCAGAGATATACAGTATGCACCGAGAAACAAAATACTCTGTGCATGGGAGTCAGAGTGATGCGTTGGATGTGTGTTTAGATGTCTCCAGCCATCCAAAACTGGACTGACAGGACAAACAAAAATGGAAAAAGCTCCAGAGAGGAGGGATGAGGTGAAGGAGAGCGAGAAGAGTGGCGAGACAGAGGAAAGCAATAAAAGCATCTGAGAGCCTTCGCCATCACTCAGCCTCTCTCGAAGGACACTCCATCAGTGAAGAGAAAGAGACAGGCTTGTGTTTGTGTGCTGTTAGAGAACAGAACACTTAAATAAAGAATAAAGAGGGAAACGGTTATGTCAGATACCAGACGTCTGATACCCACTGATTTTGTCATGTCTTGTGTAATAATTTTTTTCCTAACCATGTTACCTTGATTGTTTTTTTTTTGTTTGTTTTTCATTTCACTTGTCTTTCAAAGTGAAAACCTGATCATTTTATTTCACCATGAAAAGGCTTTACACTGGTTGCAGATTGAGCTCCCCTTTAACTATTCATATTCTATATTTCACCCTCATATCACGCTACAGCAGGTTTTCAACACTCATCACTGTAGGGCAAATACCGAAACCAAAAATAATGTTTCCCTGTTGCTGAGAAGCAGGATGGTAAAAGGTCATGTGCGTGCAAAGACTAACTTTGCATAAACCATACTGAGCTTGTGTATCCTGGAGCAGCTTTTAAAAGGTAAGTCACAAAGTATTTCACTGCCTGGTAGGACTCACTAGTAAACACTTTTGGTTGATTGTTATTGATTTCCTTTTTTATAAACTTTTTTTGAGATACGATACAAACAATACATTTTTAAGAGAAATATCTATTAATACAGCTCCTCTAAAAATGACTGTAAACTACTGTGATATGTGTGAATCACACTGTCAAAGAATTCCTGGGTCTGCTTTGGATTATAGAAAATATTTCTTTCTGCTGATGATGTAATTGTGATGACAGCCTGAGATGAAGGAGCGACTGCATACTGATGTACGTTTAGGACTGTGGCATCAAGAGGCACACAGTAAGCTGATTTCACAGTTCTTAGCAGAATAATCCACTAGAATAGTTTTATCCCTGAATCATGACTTCGACTAGCAAAATTCTCTTTGTTGATAAATGATGATGGTGCCAGGTTTGGACTAGATGTCCAATGCTTGGAGTTTCCCCTGATTAATAACACTGTGAATTTAAAATGTTTTTAATAGAAGAGCCAGACATATCATTTTTGAGCGAGTAGACAGGCAAATCTTAATCATAACTCGCTTTCCATTCATTAACTTTGAAGAGTTGCAGCCAAAGAGCAGCCTGCTACCGCCTACACATAATCTGTTTTTATGAAGCAGTTCTCAGATTCACTGGCTCTTGTAACCAGGAGTTTATGCAAAAGTCTGGCATGCATTGTTTCTGAAAATATGTGCATCATCATCATCGAGATGTCTTGATATGTAGAGGAGTGATCTGTGTGAGTATATGTCGGAGTGGGCTGTCACTGCATAGCACTGACCTGGGCAGAAAGACGCTCTCCACCACATAAAAGTCCTGCATAAGCACGTCTCTGTCAGGCTTGGAAGTGAGGTTGCCCACTGTATAGCCAATACCAAGCTGAATAGCCCCCTTCAAGGCTGATGATGTGGTCTAGATGGAAAAATAGAAGAGAAAGCATCACATTAGCCTCAGTGTTGTAGCACACTGTCACTGCAATCCCCATTGCATTCACTAGTTGACTTAAATACTAAGGATCACAAAATAAGAAAAAGACATGCCTGAGAATGGAAACTATTCTTATTTTAGTCTAAAAAGGATTCACAGGCTATTTCAAACTGTGACAGTGCAGATGACAACAAAATCAAGAAAAAAACAGTCTGCATTTTCGCCATCATATTATTGTGTAATTGCCACACAAATGCTTTAAACTCAAAATAGCCAATACAGATTGGAACACAACCATGGTAGTACTTGTGCCACCACTATAAAAAGACCTTTGACCAGTTTCTAGTCCCTGTACACTGGTAGCCACTGTTAAAAGCCTTGTTGCCATAAACAGTGACGTCTAAAGTAATTTAAAAAAGGAAAAAAAACACATGTGACCAACACTTGACTGATGTCTGGCAGCAGGCCCTGGCAGGGGTTAAGAGATTATGTGCTATAGAAGGACATTTACAAGGACTCCTGTGACTCAAATGCCTTGGAATAAAAGTTACGTGAGCAGGTTCTTATTGGTCGTAAGAGGGAAATAAAACCAAACACTCTGGCTCTTGTATGACTTGTCAGACTTTGTTACCTTCTTGTATGTTTTCTCTCTGCCTGTGTTCCGAGGCCCCCCCATCCCCTTTTCTATTGTGGTTGACATCTGAAAGGAACACAGATGAATGGAATAAAGAACAAAGCACAAAGATTACGGGTAAAAACTTAAAATAAAAATTGCTGTGAAGTCATAAGAGCATAAACACCTTGCTTAACTCAAAGCTGTGTCTTGCAAAGAGCAATTAGGGCGACATATCTCGATTGTTAGGTTGAGCGATTACCACGGGGGCTGGATCTGTCACAGACCCTCTGCAAGAGAACAGACACATAAAGAGTTACTGTTACATAACAAAAAAACCAGGGCAAAAAACACTCACAGCCTTGACATGAAGTGAGGCTGCATCCAAGTTAAGATGTGATAAAATGAGGATGAGACTGACTGACCATTTTTTATTGCTACCACTTTCTTGTTAATCTTTGTCTGATATGAGAGGCAACTGAGTCTATTTGTAAACTCTCACTGTTGATCTGGCCCGCAGCAGCAGATCTGCTCGACAAACTCTCATGGGACGTGTGTGTGCTGGTGTGTAATAACCATCCACCCTCTTCATAGAGTCTTGTTTCGGAGAAACAATCACTTCAGTGAGCAAGTAAATAAACCACGACACTTTTAAATGTACCAGCACCTTAATCCTCCTCGTCTCTAACTTTTCTTTCCATTTGTTCTGTAATATTCCAGGCCTTATGTGTATGCTGGACAAATAACACCTCTTAAAGGAGTAGAGTTGCAGGAGGAGGTATAGCCCTGGACCTGAAAGTGATCTGTTGGTGCTGCTCAGCTCACAGCACAACCAAGTCCATACTGAGCAACAAAAACACCAGTGTGTCTCGTTTCCTCCTACAGTATGTTCTCAATAATGTTTACTGTCCACTGCCCTGTCACTCCTCTCAACATCCTAATCCATCTATTTAAAGTGTGACATGATTCAGAGTGATCTTTCTGAGTCAGAGGAGAAAACGGAGACAGAGAAGTAGAGGCTTAACAGAAACACTGGCAAAAGTTGGGCTTTGTCTGATAAGCCCTGGTGAGCCTGCAGCCACCACACCACCTGCATATCAATGCACCTGCAGGTCTAAGAGCCTTGAATATCCTATGATGTCTTTGTGCTTCACCTGTGCCTGTAGTAGCATGTCCTCCAACCACCTGCTGTGTGACCAGCAATCACATTCCCATCAAATCAGTCTATTTATCACAGGTAAGGGGAAAAACTTATACTACCAGCTACAATAATGAAACTATGTAGCTCGTGCTACAAAGCAAATAACTTGCTGTCCTGTTTAAGAATAGGCCACAGGGAGAATTGCATCTTTAGATGAATACATGTTTGCACACAAAAGCCGATTCAGATACTAAAAGAATGTAGCAGACACTAAGCTCCTACGTCCAGACTGGGCCCTTATCTGTGCACCAGCTCCTCTGTTGCTATAAACACAGACACAACACTAATACAGACACATTTTGGCAGGAAGCACACATCCCAGCAACAGCTATATGTCTTTATTTGGGCCTGTGCATCATTTATACTTGTCTCTATCATAAAAATTGTTTCTTCTTATGAAGAAACGCAAGCACAAAATTTATCAACTCATGCCGAATG